GCGAGTGTGCTTCCCATTAAGATGCCTTGGTCGCCTTTTCCCTCGCAGCTTGATCAGCTATCATTAGCGCGAACTGCGGTCTAGGCAACAGTCATCATACTAAAACAACTAAAATGTGCATTTTCTCATGTACCCTGCAATAAGAGTTGCTCTCTTGGGGAGTGACAAATTGAGCCCTGTTAAGTTGCAGTGAAGCCAAGGAGATGAAAGCAGTGCATATGTATATCCTTTCTTCCTCCTCTAAGTTCTGACCGGAGTTTAGTTAAGCCACTTCAATTAAAGGCACGCCCTTGATTAACTGCGATTACCGTTGAGGGTGTGAAGTAACCGGTTGTTGTCTGCTGTGACTCAAAGGTGTAATCATCGTTCAAAGAACGTGCTCCCAGCGATTACGTCTGCTGTGTCTTGTTTTCGATATGAGGCTGACGAAACCACTCGACACAGTGTAGCTGAAGTGTACTCTATACCTTCGTCTTGTCTACATTTCGTACTTTTTGTATGGAATTGAACTTTCTAAACAACTAACAAATAAATGGCCTGTTTTCGTAATCACGCTGTAAAACTATTTGCCTATTCAACCTTCTCCTTTCTTTGTCATTTTCATTGTTATTTCCCATAACATTCTTGGTAACAATACTCCTTCCTCACCTTACTTGAGCAGGGAGATAGGGCTATGCTCAAGCTCGGCCCTTTCGTTTAACGACACTTGCAAAGCGGGAGCTGAACTGTTCAATGCTTTCGACCCCCCTCAACAATCCTCATTTATTCAATTTCAACCCAGTCAATTTTCATTTTCAATGATTTTTCTTACTAATGATTTCTTTCACCCATGGTGATATTCGAATGTAATAACTTTTAATTTGATCCTCGTAACATTTGTCGTTTTCGCAGTGCGGCATATGATTGCCGCTGTATTTATGTTGTACGCAGTACAAAACATTTGCTATAAACCTGAGTAAAAGTGACATAATTCTGGAAATGTTTCCGACTATAACTGCTCTTTAACGTCGAATGCTGAGTTAAGCAGTTGGGCAAAAGTTTTGGCTCTAGGCGGGACTCAAGCACGCATCTCGCGTTTTCAAGGCGGGTGTGTTTTCCGTATACCACAGGGCCGCTCTTCTCAGCTCGACATCGTATGTCCCTTTGGTGTAACTGCATTCTCCCAAAAAGCGTGAGATGCTGTAACCCAGCATTTTTGTGGAAATTATTTTTTTTTTGTAGTTTGCGCTTTCTGAGGTCTGGTGGTTAGAAGCTAGCCCACTGTCGCAGATAAATGGCAGTTATCGCAATTTCATTACATCGGCTCAATTTTTGAGATGAATGGTATCTAGAAATGGGCGAAGCTGGTGTAGTGGCGAGTATGCCGCACAGGCTGCGTTCTTACCTTTGCGTCAGCGTCCTCCATGACCACCAGTGCTTTGAGCGTCCGTCAGCGCCCAGCGACTAGGAAAGCATAGATATCGGTCTGGGTGCGGTTGCACACGCCACGATTTCACGACGCCTGATCCAGCTGTTCGCTCCTTCCTACTTCCCCATACTCTCCACTCGTGGTCGCTGGTGGACGCTGGCGGAAAGTACGAACGCAGGGTACCGTCCATGGAGCAAATCTCGGACTCTTCCTGGAGACAACTAAACCTTCCATTATTCTGCCATACTTTTTGTCGTGACGGATTCGGCTTTGCAATTGTGCCTCAGGGGTCCGTCGGCATCCAACCACTGTCTGAAACGTCTCCTGTTATCATAATGATCTCCTTTTCATCACAGGTGACAATTCGGTCTGAAAACGGGTCGTGTCTGTTTGCGTCAAAAGCTGCTCGACCAGAAGAAAGCTCTGCAGAGACGTTGCAATTTCTGCCGGTACACAAGTTCAAAAATTGTGGGCACCCAGTTTTCGTCGGGTGTTTTTCACCTTCCCAATGCTTTTCAGACCATACATCCGCAATAGTGGATTTGCGAACGCCTAAGCTTTCTGCAATCTCTCGAATGTTTGGGATGGATCAGCCTCCAGAAACCCCTTCAAATCCTCGTCAGATATTGCTTTAGGTCGATCGCCATGAGGTTCAACTTCAAGGCTG